GTAGGTATTACTGCTGTGCCAAACATTCCATATTGTGTTGGTGAGCTGCTAGTGGCTGTAGTTGTTGCTGGTTTACCAAACATTTTATATTGTGTTGGTGAGTTGCTAGTGGCTGTAGTTGTTGCTGCTGTGCGAAACATTCCATATGGTGTTGGTGAGCTGCTAGTGGCTGTAGTTGTTGCTGGTCTGCCAAACATTCCATAGTGCGTTGGCGAGTTGCTTGTGGCTGTAGTTGTTGCTGGTGTACCAAACATTCCATATTGTGTTGGTGAGTTGCTAGTGGCTGTAGTTATTGCTGCTCTGCCAAACATTCCATATTGTGTTGGCGAGTTGCTCTTCCCTGTAGGTGTTGGTGTTGTGCTAATTATTTCGTATTGTGTTGGTGAGCTGCTAGTGGCTGTTGTTAGCTCTTCTTTGACACAGATTCGAAATTGTGTATTTGAGCTACTTTTGGTTAGGATGGTCTTGCACTGGTTCATTTCTTGGGGGGATCGGTGAAGCTTATTTTCTGCCCCTGTTAGTTTATCAAACACAACCTTAAGTTGAGCATAGAATCCTTCTTTCACTTCAGTGAGTATCTCCTACAATTGCAAAAGAAGTTGAGCAAAATTAATTAAGAAGTACTAAATAAACCAAAGTATATAGGGAGTCTTGAATTTTCTGCTAGGGACAATGCTCGAAAAGTTTTTTAGGGTCTTCATGTGATCTCACAGTAGAGAAATTCCTAAAAGCAATGTTTGCGTGCGAGTCCATTTGCCGATTAAATTAAATTAAACCTGCGCTCATCTTCGGTTATGCTAACATCAAGCCCCTAGGAGTATTTTTTGAACCCCTTCCCCGTCCCCCACCGTCTAAATGGGATATATTGTAGGCATAAGGCCGAGTTGTTCGAAATCGTTTAAAGCTTATCCAGGATTAAAAGTTAACCAAAGTATGAAAAATGTGTTTCACTTTTTATGTTTTGGGTAGTTTGAGATCCTTCACACTCAAAGCTGAAGGATAGAAAACCTCACCTAAAAGTTACAAAACTGAAACCTCAAATTTCTCGCTAATCTTGGGTTAGCTTGATAAAATGCTTCATGGAAGAAGACTTCATAAAATGCTTATGGCAGTTTTCAAAAGCTTATTTGTTTCTACGTCCCGTATCCGGGATATTCAAAAGAACTGTTCGTTCTTCGTAACTGCAGTTACTCATTAACAGAAAAGAGCATACTGCTCTTTAACACCTATGCCAAGAACAACAAATTATGGACTCGAGTGTATTCGAAACCATGCTGCCAAAATTTGGTACCCGCTTCCAGACAGTATGAGAACAATAACATCGCTAAGAGTTCAAGGTAGCCATCAAGAAAATAAACTTTTAGCATATTTTAGCGTTCTAATCACATATTGCATTACTTTAATTGTTTGAGGAATTTTTCTTTCTCGAAGATATTAGTCAACCCTTTGAGCCCCAGTTACGCATATATGCGTAATTAATGGTCGTGCTCTTTACACCACTTGTGACGTCATCAATTTAAATGTCATCAGATATTCGTGATAAGCAGATAGTGGTACTAGGCTAGGCCTTTCCGTACAATGGTCAGGTTTAGATATCGACGACATTCCGACGTCGCAAATCGA